CACCAACTTGCCTCTCCTCCTTAACACCCCTTGCTGCCAAGAATAATTGCTAGAATGCAGACTATTGCTGTTCAGCTTTTGGATCAACTCCTGTACTACCGCATCTTGTTGCCAACTTTGCCGTATATCCTGGGTGAGAGGAGTGGTAACAGTAACCAAAGTGTACAGCAAATTGCCATCTTGTGGCTGTCGGGACAAGGCATCCGCTACAACGTTGTCACTTCCCTTCTTATACTGCACCTCATAGTCATATCCCATCAACTTGGCTATCCACTTCTGCTGCAGTGGTGTATGTACCCGTTGCTCCATTATATACTTCAAACTTTGATGATCAGTTTTGATAACGAAGTGCCTTCCCACCAAATAAGCTCTCCACTTCAAGACCGCAGTGACTATGGCTAACATTTCCTTTTCATATACGGACAGAGCTTGATGTTTGGTCCCCAGTGCCTTACTGAAAAAAGCTAGGGGTCTCCTTTCTTGCATCAACACCGCCCCAACCCCACTTCCCGAAGCATCGGTCTCCACAATGAATGCTCGAGTAAAATCTGGTAGAGCTAGAACCGGGGGACTGCTCATGACTTCCTGTAATCTTCTAAAAGCTTGGGTAGCCCCATCATGCCACTGAAACTGATTCTTTTTTAACAAGTCTGTCAGTGGTTTAGTAATCTTACCATAGTCCCGTATGAACCTCCTATAGTAACCCGTAAGACCCAGAAATCCTCGCAGCTCCTTGACTGTCCGCGGTATTGGCCAATTTCTCATGGCAGCAGTTTTCTGAGGATCAGCCTGGACACCTTCTGCATTGATAATATGCCCTAAGTAGTCGATCTGCTGCTGAGCAAACGCACACTTGCTCCGTTTTACTTTTAATTCATGCCTTCTCAATAGTCCAAACACAAGTCTCAGGTGCTGCAGGTGCTCCTTCCAACCACCACTGTATACCAAAATGTCATCAAAGAAAACCAAAATAAATTTCCTTAGAAAGGGCCTGAAGATATCATTCATCAGACCTTGAAATGTGGACGGGGCATTAGTTAGCCCAAAGGGCATAACTAAGAATTCATAATGGCCATCATGTGTTCTGAAAGCTGTTTTCTCCACATCTTCCGTCTTCATCCTAATCTGATGATATCCAGCCCGCAAGTCTAATTTGGTAAAGAGCTTGGCTCCAAAGAGTTCATCCAGCAATTCTTCTATTAGCGGAATAGGAAATTTATTCTTTATAGTGGCACTGTTCAGCTGCCGATAATCAACACACATTCTCCAGGATCCGTCTTTCTTTTTCACCAAAACTACTGGAGAGGAGAAAGGGCTAGAGCTAACCCTCACAATCCCACTTGCAAGCATTTCCGCTACCAGTTTTTCAATTTCACCTTTCTGGAAGGCAGGGTACCTATAGTGCCTCACATTGACCGGTTCAGTGCCATCCTTTAGGACAATCCTATGGTCGTGCAATCGTGCAGGGGGCAAGCCCTGAGGTTCTTGGAACAGATCATCATATTCACTCAGCAAAGATTCAAGATCCAGCGAGTCACCATCCTGTCCCCCATTAGTTTCAGCCATGATGGTGAAAAGAGATAATGGTTCTGGCTCCGGCTCCTGAATCATTCTGATCATGCATAGTTGCGCCCCTGCAATTTGCTCAGGTTTCCGCAATAGTTTCTGCATTTTCTTTTGCCTCACAAACTGCAACCCATAGTTTTTCATTCCTCTCAAAACCACTTTGTGACCATTTTGCATGAATTCCATCCTGAGGTCACGGAAGTTCCACTTCACCTCACCAATGGTGGTTAACCATTGCATTCCTAGAACTATTTCACACCCCCCTACCGGTAATACCAACAAATCAGCCTTGAATTCCTGACCTTGCATTTTCCAGGAAAAACCTGGGCAAAGGTCGTGGGTAGTCAGCTTATTCCCATCTGCGACCTCTACCATTAGTGGCTCCACCCCTCGTGTGATCAGCCCCAATTTTTGCACTACCGAAGGGTGAATGAAATTATGTGAGCTGCCACAATCTATGAAAATATTCACAGACTGCCTTCCCACATGTCCCGTGACCCTCATGGTCTTAAAATTGGGGACAGCCATGTTGGTCATGGCATGTAGGGAAATATGAGCTAACTGTCCCTCGTCCACGACATCCTCCTCCCGTTCGGTATCCGTTTCCTCCTTTTCCGGCGTATCATCCCAAACCTCCAACCTGTGGAATTGCTTACTTCCACACCTATGCCCCGCTGTAAACCTCTCATCGCACCAAAAACATAACCCCTTTGCCCTTTTTTCATCCATTTCTGCCCTACTTAACCTCCTGAATGGCCTTTTAGCACTCCACTCTTGCTGTCTTTTATTGCTAGGAAGAGCTGGCAACGTCGGTAGGGGCAGTACTGCCTTAGAGTCTGTTTTCCATTTATGACTAGGAACATTCACATGGAACGGTGACGTATTAGAGCGGTCGGAGTAGTTCACGAATGGTTTGGATATTACCTTTCCTTTTGACTGCACCGATATTTTTGCCTCTTCAATTTTGGCCAAGATTCGAGCATGCTGCACATTCTTAGGCATAAACATTCGCACCGTCAACTGAATTTCTGGCTTTAATCCACTCAAGAAGCAGCTCGTAGCGTAATCCTCTGGCAGATCCACCCTATTGAGAAGTTCCTCGAACACATCGTGGTATTCCTGTACCGATCCGGATTGCTTCAAGCTCTTCAGCTCCCCCATTGGATCATCATACAGAGAATCCCCAAACCGTGAAGACAGCTCTCTCACATACTCTTCCCAGGTAGGAAACTCACGTGTAAGTCTTGCTTTCATAAAAATTTGGTGCCACTGCAGAGCCTTACCTTCTAAATTCATCGCAGCTATTTTAACCTTCACCGAGTTAGGAGTCTCGTCCACCTCAAAAAACTGCTCGCTCTTGTACAACCACCCTCTAAAGTCTTCTCCATTGAATCTCGGGAAATCAATTCGTGATAGGCGAGAAGGAACCTGATATCCGCCCCTGCTGCTGGTTTGAGTATCTGAGTTGCGAGGAGAAGAGCCATTTCCTTCCCCCTGAGCCTTCTGTGTGTGTAATTCGATCACCAGATTCCGCAGAGCCGTCATTTCCCTCTCAAACTGCTCCTGTTGCTCCTTCAGCATGGATCTGACGTGCTCCTCGATCTTCCGGACATCCTGCGACCTAGTGCCCTCTGCCATTGAAGAATTGAGCTGGCGTGACCCAGCTCTGATACCACTGATGCAAAGAGCAGTGGAGGTCAGGAATCTCTGATCTAGGGACCACAGAAATGATGGAGAAGTGATCCGAAAACCAGAGAAATGTTATTGATTGAATTGACAGAAAGAAAGGAATTACTGATGAATGTAAATTGTGATTTTACAAAAATGGAATATCCCCCATAGCCCTCCAGCTTTCCCTATTTAATACGTGAGTCAGGTGGTGCTCGTGAGGCGGCTAACAAACTTACAAACTTATGACGTTGACTGACGTCATAAGATGCGTATAGATCACTGACTAACTAATTGTAACTAACTCCAGTTGTACTAACCCCATGCACGCACATGCAACTCCATGTACACACGCCAATCCCATGCCCAAGCCCTTTCTCGTGTATCAATGGAAGAAGTAACATATATAGCAAATCAAAAGGAAAAGTTTTAAGAACATTATAAGAAAAGAAAACAGAAAGTAGATCTACAAATCTACCATTGTCATTTTCTAAAATCTATGGATCTAAATAAAAAGAGGCCAAAAAAAAGAGAATGAGAATAAAGAACAAGGGGAAAAGTCTTGCCCATTTGAAGAAAAGACACCGGAAAAAAAGGGAAATCATCAGAAAAAGAAACCAATAAAAAGTGACGAGTGCAGAAGGAGGCGGAAGCCTCCCGTCTGATGATGATGCGGGCTAAGACGGCTGGAAAAGACTACAAAGAATAAGGAATTGCCTTTTGATGTGTAAAACTATTCTAGTATTGTGTTTTGACCCTCTATTTTTTGGACAATCATAAATACACTCCCATATTTCTTTTATAATCACTTTTACAACTTTAACTTTTGTATTTTGTACGTATAAACCTTAATTTTATTCAATAATTTCCCTCTTAAAAAGTTTGAAACTCATTAACGTGCTTTTGAACTTTAGATTCTAGACTTGACCCTAAATTGTTTCATATATATATATATATATATATATATATATATATATATATATATATATATATATATATATAAACTAGACCACAAAAACTTATCAAATTATATTTCTAGTCTCAATTTGTACAATGTTTTGAATGAATTCTTCATATTAGTTATAAACTCACCAAATATGTCAAGTTAAGGTGTAATTTTATATATTATTTAATTTTTATAAATAATTAAAATATATTTATCACGTCTTTATGGCATCATTTGGTAGGATCTCAAACTAATCGGTCAAATCCATTGACTCCTGACACCTAAATTCAACTAACCCATTGTCCGATCCAAGTTTAAATTCATAGTGTGAAAAATAAGGCTTATTTTGTTAAGAAATTAATTACTGCTATCCTACTCTCTTTCACATACTTAAAAACCAATTTCTTTGTTTTATTTTTGCTTTTATGGATACTTTTAATTTACTTTAACAAAATCCTCAAATTACTTAATTTAGTTCACAATTTTACCAATATAATCATAATTCACCCATAATATGTGAGAATGCCTACAATCATAGGAACTTAAAGCTTCGTTTTCAATATTTCAGCTTATCATTTAAATGGTTTATCCATTGTTACGTACTTTCTACTAATATCTAACCATAATATTACCTTTACCAAGAAAAGAAATCAAGAAACATGCAATTTCAAGGGGCTTCACCCCAAGTAAAGGAAAAACACCATACTTTTTAACACCTCCACAGCTCGACCTTATAAAAACGACCTAGACTGTACCTTGCTCCTATAAACATCTATACCGTGGAAAAGTTGATTTTTGAGCTCATAACGTGGAGTTCATGTAAGGATTCACCGATATGCACAAGTAAATTAAATAAATAATAAAATGGTATAATTTGTACAAACTAACAAGGATACCCGTATCTGATACGCATACTTACAACCACCTTGGATAGATACAGTAAATTACAAAATGGCCCATGGTTCATGGATTTGGGCCTTCCTTTATCTGCTTCTAGCTCATCTGACCCTCCCACTTCTCACCTATAAACATTAAGGTATGCTCTGCCTGTCACATTCCCTGCAGGTATTAAAATCTGGTAAATTTTAACATCTTCATACTTTCTCTCTCAGCAGCTTGAGATACATAAGAGCTAATTGCATCAGGCTACAACTTTTGAGATATTACAGATATATTTGGCATCATGAGCTAGTTGTACCACTATCAGATGAATTGTCATCTAGGATAATATCTGCAGGGTCTCCAATCCATGGCCTTCCTTCTCTCCACTTAAACTTAATCCTCAATTTTCCATTTGCATCCACCCCAACTACCTCACCTCTACTTGCATGCGTTTCCATCCCCCATCCCCATCGAGGAGTCACCAGCCCTTCTTTGATCCTCACCTTGTCACCCACTTTAAATGGTTTCACCTTTTCCATTTCCCACACCTTGCAAAGCCACAGCCTTTCCATGAAGCAGAATGCCACCCACAGATCTTCATCTTCTATTCGGTGCACCACCCCAATGCTTGAATGGCAAACTTCTCCCCAATGATGTGTTGGGCTAGATACTGTTGCTTTAACTCTAACCCAGTTCCCTATGCACAATTCGTCTTCCTCCACATGATCAACTTCTGAAGGATCCAATGCCCAAGATTTGGAACCAGCAGGTGCGTAAATTCTCAACTTGCCATCTGCATCGATAGATGTTATGGTACCAACACTAGAATGGTTGTGTCCAGACCACCCAAACCTTGGCTGCTTCACTGTGTTCTTAACCCTGATGCGCTGCCCAACAAGAAGCTTGCTAACTCTTTCCAGATCTGTAATATGACCTACCCACTGGTCCTGTTCTCCACAAAATCCAACAAAAACATTTCCATCCCATTCATTTCCTTCACATCCAATCCCTTGAACCACTCCAATGCTGCCTGGCACAATAGACTTCCAGGAACTAGCTTGTTCTCTCAATTTGACCCACTCTCCAACATCAAACATTTGCTCTATTTCAAGATCTGCTGGATCCCCTCTCCATAATCCCTGCAAACCAAAGAATACCACCCTTACTTCTCCATCTGCATTAACACAAGTTATAACACCCCGAGAATCTATCTGAGCCCCTCTCCATCCCCATCTTGGTTCAACTAATCCAACTCGGAATCTGACATGCTGTCCAACTTTAAATCCTTGTACCTTTTCAACATCTGAATAATGAGTGATCCACTTTCCTTTCCGGAAACAGCAAGCTAGTTCCAAATATCCCGTCTCCTGTACACTATGCACAACTGCTAAGCTATCTTTCCCAATACTGTTCCAGTCATAGCTTGGTCTTACACCCAATGTTGGCTTTGACCGTACCCAATCACCTACCTCAAAACCTGAAAGCCGTTCAGCATCTCCAGGAGAAACTTTCCACAAATGATGTCTCCCAGTGACTTTAACCTGATAGTCAAACAAAATAAATAAATTAAAAAACAAAAAAAAACAACAAATCAGCAACTCACCAATACTGTAAATCAAAGCCCAAAAGAAGTTCCAGCAGCTAGACAATATAACCAGTTTTTGTTTCTTCTAAGATGGTTGCACCCCCAAAGAGAACGCAAAACTTCAATTACATATTACATGGTCCACTGAAGGAAAAGTGAAAACACAAGCTGATAGAACAACAGAATGGAAAAGAAAACTGGTACCTACTTGAGAATAATTCTTTCAATTATCTCTTCCTGCCTAATTAAATTATTTAATAAAGAGATCCTCATCCCAGCTCTGGAGGGTAGCAAACATGGAATTTAATAATTATCTAATACTAGAAAAGCTATAAATAAAGCAGAGGAATTAAGACAAGCAAATCATGCTTACATTGATGCACCACCTGATATAATCAGCAAAACAACAAAGCCAACACCGTGAAAAACAAATCCCAAGCAGCTAGAGAATATAATCAATTTTGTTTCATCTAAAATAGTTGCACACTCAAAGACATTGCAAAACTCCAATTAGATATTCCTGTCTTTGAAGGAAAAATGGAAGTAAAGTGAAAACACAAGCTGATAGAACAAAAGAATGTAAAAGTAAGAAAACCAGTTCCTACTTGAGAAAACTTCTTTCAATTGCTTCTTTTCCTTTGCTAAAATTATTTAATAAAGAGATCCTCATACCAGCATCAGAGGGCACCAACCATGTAATTTAACCCTTATCGAAAACTAGAAAAGCCGTGGATAAAGTTGAGGAAGGAAAATAGAGGAAAATAGACAAGCAAATCATGCTTACATTTAAAGTGCCATCCATGTCAATTCTTGCAATTTTTCCAACTGTGGCTGGCGTCTCATTTGACCACCCAAGCCGAGGCTGAGTAACTGATGGCATCACATGGATATCTTGTCCAACTTCGAAAGGGAGAACCTTCTCCACATCTGTCACTGAACAGCAAAAAGGTTTGCTCCTGAAGCAAAAAGCAATTCCTACATCACCATCCTCTTCCAAACTATGAATTACACCAATGCTGGTCCTGTTTATATCCTCCCATCCATATTTAGGGGAGGACACTGAAGCTTTTACTCTAACCCAATCTCCGACCTTCATGTAAAAACAAAGATACAGGGTAAAAGTACTTATTAATTGTATCTGGAAGGCATGATCAGTAAAAGGAAACAGCTAATTATTACCTTAAAATCTTCAACCTTTTCCATGTCTGAAGGATCAGCCTGCCATGGGATAGGTCTGTTGGGGATTTCTATTATTAAAAGGCCATCACTTTCTACGTCGGATATCTTTCCAACGCTATGATGAGTTTCTCCACCCCAAGCATATCTTGGCTCAGCTACAGACCGCTTCACACAAACCCGATCACCAATCTGTAAAGTCATAACATCATCAAAAACTACCAACTGCAGAAAAAAAAAATGTGAAAGGAGAAAAGGAAAACATTTAATTGATTCAGTCAATACAATATAAATGCCCTTACTCTAAATGGTTCAACCGGTTCAACTTCCTCCGGTTCACAATGCCATGGAGTAGGTAGATAGCTTAGTTCCAATAAGAGACTGTTATCCGGTCTGATACAGTATACTACACCTACGCTTCCAGGAGTTACAGATCCTAATCCATGTTTAGCAGTGGTAAGCGATGGGCGGATACGAACCCAATCTCCAACCTTAAATTCTTCAACTCTCTCCATTTCTGCAGGGTCAGCTTTCCATCCTCTGGAAGCTCCTGGAAAACCAACGCGGAGGATCCCATCATCATCTACACAAAGAACAGTACCTATAGTATCACGTGAATGTCCCCGCCAACCAAACCTGAAACCAGATATCAAAAATACCATTAATCCACGTATTTCCCAACAAAATTGAATAGCAACAAGCCTGAAGCTCAAGCTGAAATGTACGATCAATTTTCTGATGATAGCAACAATGTAGTCCCTATCATGTTCAACCAAGTTTTAGGCAATAGAGTAATACATACCTAGTACATCAGAAAAAGTTACAGCAGTATCAGTTTGTGGATCATAACTACATCAAATAAGTTAAGAGAAATCTCCTGCTCAGTGTCAGATTAAAATACCTAGCCATTTGAAATTAATATGCCATGAAGACAATAAATTAACTACATCTATTAATATACAATTATCTCATGTCCCCTTTTAAGTTGTCAGTTTGTGCTCCTCTCCATTAACTCTACTTGTGTTAGATTTTCAGACTGGTCTTACAGTTTTTCAGCCATTGCACCACTCAAAACTCTTAAAATCCATGATACATGCCAGACATCTCTGACATATGCTACCATCCATTTCACCTGAATGAACCATCTCAACTGCAATCACAATATAAACTAAGTGCTGCTGCATCAATGAATCGTCATATTCACAGAAAACTATGAGCATGGATCTAAGAGATCACAGAACAGTTGAAAAGCCATCAAGCTAAACCCTTAAAAAAATGTTCACATGTTTAAATGGAGAATGATAAGAACGGGCACTGTAGTAGCCAAGAACTTGCTTCAATATTTTACGTTACTAAAGAGATGTTTGTCAAATAGTCACAACACCGAAAGTTATTGAATGCTAAACACCTATCAATTCATACAATTAATTTTAGAACAGGGATCAGTTAATGAAGACCTTGGTTCTTTGACCTCTTGCTTTAGTTGTACGTGCTGTCCCCTATCCAGAGGAATCACTTTAACAACTTCATTTGCTAGTACTCGTGCTTCCCCAGAACAAAATGACACAATGAGATTGTCCTTATCTGGGACATTTTGCACAAAACCAACACTTTTATGTTTAGCTCCTTGCCACCCATATGTAGGAGCTGTAACGCTTCTCTTGAATTTTACCCAATCTCCAACTTGATAACTACATAGTATTGACAGAAACAAAATGCCGATCATCGTTTCAATAAAAAAGTGACAAAAATATGAAATAGCACTAAAAATTCAAATGACACTGATTACATTGTGGGAGACAAATGTACTCCTTTCTCCATCAGTGCCTCCATCAAATCCTCAGAAATCCATTCTCTCGGAAGAGCCTCCAAGTAGTCGCATAATGTCTTACCACTGCCAGGCACCACCAAAACATTTATACGGCAAATTCAGCAGCAAATGCCATTCTAAAAACAACAGGAGTGTGGACTCCAAAATGGAGTTTTTGTTTATGTGAATCAAACCATTGAAAGGGTAAGAATTACCTATGATTCCTGGCTTCGACAGCAGCGTCAGGATACCTAAGCATTACAATGATCCACTCAAGATTTTCACGTATCATCTTTGCTACATCAGCTGCTATATGGAAGGCATTGTCACCATCATCATCCTGACATTTGGCAGAACACATGAAACAGAGCACCTAAAAGTATATATGAATTGAAAGTCCAGCAAATATCGTTCACAAATATAAACTGATTGTGAAATTCTAGTAGAGTCAAATTCCCGAGTGGATGTTGGCGGCAGGCAGCAACAAACACCAAAATTTTGAAAATTATTTACACTCAGAAAAAAAAATTCCACAAAAGATTTGTTCCCTGCCCCTAAAAAGAAAAACAGATATCTTATTATTTAAGATAATCCTACAAAAATCTATATAGATTATTCCCTCCAATGCTTAAGTTGTGGATGAGCCACCAGCAGTACCATAGCATATTGAAATCCAGGTATAATTTTGACAGTGCAATATTACTTGCCTCATTTGCATCTATTACCAAAACCATGTTTACTCCAATAGACAAAAGGAAAGTCAATTACTTCTATCATCTTCAATTCCAGAGGTTAAAATGATAGTCAAACTACAAACAACCAGCGGCTTATCAACCACAAATTAGGAAAATTTATCTAAACAAGTCTTGTTTTGGACATCAACCATTTCAGTAGGAATTTCAGACATAAGTAAATAAAGAAGAGCTGCATCCAATTAAAAAGTTAAAGAATAAAAAAAAAAAAGAACCATAATCTACGAAAGATGTTAGTCTTTTTGTGCTAACAATCATCTGCAAGATGAAATGGAATCAAGACATGCAAGATAAAAAATGCTACTTTGCTTAATGATTAGTCCATAAAGACAAGATTTCTCTGCTACTTGCTGCAGAACCATCATGCTAAGAAAGTATAATTGGAAAAATGCAGAGTATGGTAAAAATAAGAGTTTAAAAATCTTCAATGCTACACTTAATGGTGTAAAATCATCCAATTTTTTCTCAAATTACTATGTTTATTTGCCAAAAGGAACTCAGGGAAATGAACCTTGCATAGTAAAAACGAGAAAAAGTAGTGGTGGGTGTAGTGGGGGTGCTCTGTAATCCATTTGAAAGTGCTTCCTGGAAAGAGAAGTCCATTTTGATAAAAAGCAAGTTTTTGGAAAGTAATTTTTAGGAATCCACTACTTGAGGAAGCCCATTGTGGCAAAAGCAGCTTGCTTTCAAGGTCTTCTATGCACTATGTAAAAGATAAACATAGCACTTAAACTCCAGATAAAAAAAAATTCAGATTTTGTCATTATTATGTTGTATTTTTATTTCCTTACTATGTCAAATAAGGAGTCATACTTTTACATATTAGCTACTGACTTATTTGAGATTTGAGATTCAAAGATGTACATTTATTCATTATGTAAATGTCATTTACCAATGACTTAAACAATGTAAAAACTTTAAGACTAATACTTTCTAGGTAAACATTCCCCAGCAAAGCTCTTCTTAACAAAGTTCCCGATTGGCATTAAGCCTGACATGCACGTTGGGTTCTTTGAACTTTAGTACATTTTGCTGCTTCATTCCACAGTGCCACAGAAGTCAGATCTTATAAAGCTTTATGCAAGAAATACAAAAACAACCTGCAGATTACAATTTGCCCCAGCAGATAAAAGCAATCCAACACATGATTTTGCACCTCTAGCCAATGCAACATGGAGAGGTATCGTATTGTGCATGTTCCTGATGTTTACATCAACTCCATCATCAAGAATTACCTAGTCAAGTATATTCACGAAAGGTATGACACGAGTTAAAAATTAGAAATATATACTCAGTAATGTCTAAATTCAGTAAATCACAATTCGATCTCAAAATACTTGGGTCAAATGCAAGAAAGGAACAAACAACATCCACATGGACCACATGTAACTGTCACCTAGCTTGCTTACATTTTTTGTTTTACTTGAATAAAATCACGATGCATACCTTGACCAACTGAACATCATTAATCATAGCTGCAGTATGCAGAGCTGTTCTTCCATGTTGGTTGTCTTCAGCTGTTGGATCTGCTCCAGCAGCTAGCAGTATCCGTACAAGTTCTCTCCCTGCTGCTAGATACAAGCATTAATCCAGTATTACAGAACTTGCATGAGATTTTTCTTGACCAAAGAAGAAAATGAAAATGAACATAACAAAATTACTTCAATTCATTTGTACCAGGTACTTAATCAAAAGAAAGGTAAATTGTAGTCTAGTTTACCAGCTTCATGTTCTTTTTTCAGGGCAGCAGCCATGCATAAAGCAGTCCCAACACGGCTTGGAATATCAATGGCATCAGCAATCTCTTCCCTGGATGCAAGCTCCACCCATCTTTTGACAATTGCTACATTCCACGTCATTATGCATAAATGCAGTGGTCTGTAAAGTAAAAAGACTTTAAATTTGCACCAGCAAATCAATAAACAATATTCTTGACATTAACATTGCAATAACATTCATCGACGTACTCAAAGATCTATTGATGCTGAATACTTATCAACATTCAGGCCTTACACCTGCTTTAACTGACTCTGTTGCATTACTTTCAACAAATTCAGTCCTATTTTAATATTCTTCTTCTTAAATGTAGAATATCAGAAAACGACTACATGTTGGCATCATAGAACCGTCTGTTGCAAATCACAAACCACACACTATAGGGATTCCAACCAGACATTTTATTCCCAATTTCTTTGCCCTTGCTAGTCTTTGTGACTCGAGAAAGCCTTCATACTCGACACCACCAGTACTTGGCTTCAATTTTGAATGATAAAACTGTCCTAACCTCAAAGCTTTTTATGCAAAAGCTATGGGTAAAGTACAACTATAAGGTAGTACGGGAAGCGGCAATCATTCAAATAAAGCCAAACACGTACAGAAACCATAGATTATTCACAGAATTCTCCTGGCAACCAGAAAAGGGTTCCTTTTAGGTTTTCTGGAAATTAAGTATATCCCTTATTGCCATGGTGAAGAATAAGTAAACTCCAGTAAGCATCTCTTTCAAGACACATGCACTATTTTGATTTAACTATCACAATTAGAATGGGAAAGACACTGATCTGCTAAGATATCATACTTAAAGTTTGAACTAATGCATTAAATCATCCTTGGATCATGACTTCAAATAAAAAACCGAAGCCAACTATCCAGCTATGATGTTTTGGCTCCTGCACATTAACAAGCACAAACCAACTAGTGGTGTGAAACATGGAATGAAAGCAAAGAAGAATCATTTCTACATACGTCAAATCTTTTGAGTTCTGAAAACTCATTGATTTACATCCTCCATTTTCCAATATCACAATAGCACACTCCGTATATTTCTTGGCAACAGCTCTATGAAGTACAGATTCACCCTCATCATCTACTGCATTTGGATTAGCCCCAGCCAATAATAACTCCTGTAATCATCCATGGAAAGATGAACCAAAACCTTGGCAATAAGCACAAAAAGCAGAAAATGTCAACGAGCAAACAACAGTCAGATGAACTTATGCGTCTTGATTTCAACATCAAGCAATGTGGGCCTATATTGAAACTATAATCTATACTGCAAAATGCACAAATTTAACGTCACAATGCATTTCTTATTCCCCTCCCTCCTACAGATAAACTTTGCTTCTTCTTTTCCACACTAGTATTATACGTAAGGCAAAGAGAAACCTACTCGCATACACTGTGGTTGGCCATGATAGGCACAAACATGGGCAACTGATGGTCCAAGGCCTTCCCTCAGTACAGATTTGACATTAGCATTCTTCTGGATGAGAGCATGGACACATTCAGGTGATCCAGCAGCTAATGCAAACACCAGCGGAGGATCACCATCTTTGTCTAGAACATCTACATTAGCCTCTTTGTACTCCAAAATTGCCTCAACAAGTTCCACACTACCCCGTCTACAAGCCAGGTGAAGAGCAGTCTGACCATCAGAATTCTGTGCTTCTAGTAAAGAACATAACAAACTACCATTCTGTCCTGATGCAGACCTGGCAAGCAACTCTCTACAGAAATTTGTAGGGGGTACAAGAATAATTAGGCAAATCTATCTCTTGATAAATTGAAGTTGAATGACAGCAAACCATGAAATTCGAAGCAAAACAAGGGAAAAGACAGTCCAAAACCAATGCAAGTAATAATAACAATATTCATGATAAAGATTGTCATCAATTGAATTTTCTAAGAGACATAAAGAGTAAAGCGGACTAACCGGACACCATTTAGATCGCCTTCAGAGACAAGCCGGTGAAGAAGGTTAGTGTTATCTTGGTGAAGATCCAAGTCAATTAAATTAGACGATTTCATTCCATTTGCCATTGGATATTTTGCCAAGTCACTACATATCAAATTGACCATACAGATCTGAGTTGACAATAAGCTGAAATGCAATAATGCATGAGATATAGATCATAAGCACATATAACAGATAAATTAAAGAGGAATTAAAACAATATTAAAGCAAGATTATCTAGTATTGTTAAACTGCAATCATACACATAGTTTAAGTATCAACATTGACTAGATACTGGTATATAAACACATCAGAGCAAATTATAAGGGGAGACAAAAAATTTCATCCCAGAGTTCCTACTTTTCAGGGCTTGCAGGAGGACTGCGAGGTATCTCTTGCAAATGATGAAGAAATGTTGCTAACATTGCACTAAAAGTTGGTCTTCTAGATGGCCGAAACTGTAAGCATTCACCGATCATCTTCCATAATTCCCTTGGAATGCCAACACCTACAACACTTGCATATTGAGGAGGTTGCTTCCGTGCCTTCACAACTGCTCTATATATTTCCTCTGCACTTAACCCAGCCCACCTGCAGAAATAGTGTGAACGAGGAATTTCCAGCAGTCATAGCCCTTAAATTGTACACATAGTAGAAGATTAATGGCAACAGTAAAGATATTCATTGACATACGGGATAGAACCAGTGCACATTTCCACCAATGTACAACCAAAGCTCCAGGCATCTGATTCTGGAGAAATGCCAATTGCATCATCCCAAAAGGGATTAAGTGATTTCTTCACAGGCTCCCATGCCTCAGGAGCAGTATAATTTGGGCTAAGCATTGTGCAATCCATGCATGAATGCACCCTTGCAGACTCACCCTCTGATCGAGCTTTCCTACATGCAGGCATTTTAAGAATTGCTGGAAGCCCATAATCAGAAACAACAGCATGACCATTTGAGTCCAGAAGAAGATTGGATGATTTGATATTCATACAAACAATGCCAGCTGCATGCAGCTCAGCCACACCACGAGCAATGTCTGCCCCGTACCTGCAGCCAGAGATGATAAGTACGTCAAGACACAATCATACGAACTACAAAACAATAGAAAAAAGATTGAAAAGTATAGTCCAAAGTCAAATATATTTCACAACCTATGAACTATAAGTTTGGTCAAAAGTCAAATATATTTCACAACCTATGAACTATAAATCCTTTGATTCATTTAGTGCGTAAATTTTTAACTCCTTGGCATGGAAAAGTTAGCTGGTTAAGTTAATTTTTTTTGAGCAAACAAAGAAGTGCTAAAGTGATAGAAGAAAATCGTCCAATTCAGTAAACCCAGCACTTGGCATGGCAAAATTAGCTGATTAAGGTAATTTTTCTGAGCGAATAAACACGTGCAACTGTGATTGAAGACAATTATCCAATTCTGAAAGCCCAAGAGGCCTAATGATCATTTAAGTTCACCCACAACCAAGATTTCCTTGAGTAGGTAAGGTCATTATCACAGAGCTATTGCAGGAACGGTTACCCGTACCACAAAAGAGATAAATTATTAGTATGTCAGTTAGAGTCAGCTACAAAGAAAATAAACTGCAGTCTAACGAACAGCCATATGAAAACCAGGCCCCATGGAACCCACCTACATCTAATTTTGATTTAACGCATAACAAGGAACAAAATGATTTGCTCTACTATAATTCTCCAACATGATTATTGTATATGATATTGTAGTAACTAATTCTGTCAATAGCTACTAAGAGAAAAATCTCTCCTACAGTCTTTTTTTTGGTAATAACTTTTTCATTAGTCAATTTTTTAGAATATGAGGATCAGAAATAAATTTTGTAAGACAACAGTCGAAGTACCAAGTGATACCCTACCTAAATTTTAAGGTCTACATAGAAACTATACTCGAAATTCATAATAGAAGATCCCTGGAAAGTTCAGTTGAAATAATCTATCAAGACTAAGAACAAAGCAGATATGTGTTACTAATTACACAATCATCCAATGACAAGCTGTAAACAATAATTGCCCTGCTGCTTTTATAGAAAATAAAGGAATTGTCTAGTGCACTAACAGTGAATAAAATAACTCAGAGCAAATGATCCATTAAATCCTTTGTTTTAAACCCTAAAGACCCTGCTTGATGCCCATGGATTGACCGTCATCGTCACAAACAGGGAAAGGTAATTTCTCTACAACTATCATATCAGATTGAAAAGGCTATAGCCAAAAGCCTGGAACTAGTTAATTTGAGCACAACTTCAAATGTATGCCTTGACCAACATGAGTTTCTTCGAAACTCCTAACCATGAAAGACATGGTTCGCCGTCGCGCATCGTGGTCACTGTTGTTCCACATCCGTCGCAATATATCGGTTGGATATCGAGTAATACACATATTATAGTACATAAAATTTTCCAAAAAATCTTAAAAAATTATTTAAAATTAAAAATATCATAAAAAGCACAATTTGAAAAAATATCCAAGTCGACTCCGAGTTGACTCGGATATTTTGGCTGATTCCATGCATCACGGATTCGAATCGGTCAATATCGGCCAAGTCAGAGCGAATCGCTGCGAATATAAAATTATCCACAATTCGAGAATCGATATCGTCCCGGTGCCCTCCATTCCGGTTATGCTGAGATGGCTAACCATGAATTCAAAGATGGTCCTAACCAACATCTATGACAAAATGAAAGGAAACACTTCCAAACCGAACTGAAAACTAAATGCCAACCTTTCACAATTCCAGTCATTTTGGAAGAACCTAGAATCCAATGCATCTGAAAGCAATTAAATAAAATTATATGCTACTATAGAACCCACAATTATCAATTCTTACGCTTTCTTTCCTTTTGCACATTTTACCACAAGGAAAGCTTTGTCCAAAATTTGGCCAAAAACAATAAGAATCATCATCACGAAAAGAAATGAGTCAACATTCAACATTCAACCCATACATCCCCATGCACAGAGCAAGAAAGATGGACAGCTACCTAAGGATTTGTTCAAGAGTGAGGCGGCCTTCGTTCCTCTGCATCTCAGTCTGCACCGACCCTTTACACCTATCCATTACTAAACCCAAACTCCCATCTTCCATCCTGGTTGCACCGTGAAACGCACACACATTCCGGCACCACATTGAGGTTTTTCTCAGCCCATCCAGTTTCCCCTGAACCCAAACTATATCCATCTCCTCCCCCACTGCCAGCTTTTTCACTGCCACTTTATGCCGGCATTTACCATTGCTCCCAACCATCACCGCCGCCCACGTTTCCACCACCGCACTCCTCCTACTAGTACTAACCCCATTAATCCTATTCCCATTCCCCTCAATCCTCCTCAGTAACTTCAGCCCTTGATGCATCCCCACCTCAATCCGCCCACTTCCGCAGCTGGTGGCAGCGTGGGCCCCCCTTCGCCGCCTTCTTGCTGCCGCTACTTCGTCATCCACCTCATCATCGTGATTATAGCTACTATGATTAGTATTACTGGTGCCAAAAGAGAAGAGTTTCCCACCCCGTTCATCCATGTCATCATCATCCTCATCCTCCTCCTCCTCCTCGCTGAAATAGTTGCTGGCGGCCGTCACAGAGGCCGAAGAGTCGTTGATCAACGCAAGGATCGCATAGTTCTTCTTCAAGGCAGTGACAGAGTTGCCGATGGTGGAGATGTGGCGGCATCTGGGGCAAGAAAGGGTGGTTTCCAGGGACGCAGAGAACATTTTAGAGAGGCAGTCCTTGCAGAAGCCATGGCCGCATTGCAGTAACAAAGGGCACCGCTCATCCTCGTTGTATCGATTTTGACACACTGTACAACAAGGAAGCCGCATAATTCAATTTGAATCAATTCAGCTTCTAAGTCTATCGAATCTAAGGATTTTTCCTCGACAAAATTGTACTAGTTTCCGTCTCAATCGAACTTTCCAATCCAACTCCAACTGAGATGAGGAGGCTAGTTTTCACGGGATTTTGGGGAAGGGGGCAGTAGATCCTTGGAAGAAAATAAGATGAAAACGAAGAAAGAGATGAAGAACAAGAAGGCATAAGCTAATGGGAAGAAAGGACTAAAATGAAAGTGGGGAAAGAAAAGCTTTTTTCGAGCTTTATTAAGGGTTTTAACGTTTTAGACTTTTTTATTAGTGATGTTTGTTGTTGATATTTATGCGTGTTTATTTGTTGTTTGTTATTTTTTTTTCTCTCTCTTTATCTTTTCTGCATTTTCTATCGCTATGGCTGAGCGACTAAGTGACCGTGCATTTCCAACTAAATGACTAGAGTAAAACTTAATACTCGTGGATATAGGCGTCAAAATGGGTAATTTGGACGAATTTGTATTAGTTAAAATGAGTAATAAATATAAGTAAATCAATCCATTTATATCCATTTATATTCATTTAATTAGATGAGTATAAATAAATAAATCAAAAAATGAGTTGGATAACTCAATTCTTCATTTATAATCTACTTATTTTAACTTTTTCTAAATTCATTTTTACAAACTAAATTATCAATTTATATCACCCTTTGCAATCATCATTAGTTTTAAATATTTACTTATAATGCTCAATATACCTAAGTACCAATTTTTTCCCATCCATGCTCTATGTCGCAAAATTACATATTATTTAACAAGTGAACAATAAGAATTTAAAATTTTGAATTAAATACTATGAAAGTTAACATAAAAATTTATTCCAAAAATTTTGAATTACTAGCATTTTGTTCATGTGTAAATTTAAAATTTTATTTTGGAAAGGTATGAAGGAGGCTAAAACTTATCATAAAATTGATAATGCTGAAAGTGAGTAAGTTAACAAACTACGAGAAAATAAAATGATAAGATAAAACCAACAAATAATAATAATAATGAAACGAAAGTAGTTACCATCATGACAAAATGAAAAATCTAAAAAAAATTAAGGAAGATATCTATTTGCGTCAAGAATGCATCAAATGTTTGTTAAGCCTAAAAATTAAAATATTCCACTATATACAAGGTTTCAACAACATTAATGCATGAAAATCTCCAACAATGAGTTCACTAATCAAAAGCAAGCCTCAAATTTCTTTTAAATGTAATTGGGTAGGGAAAGATAGGAGACTTGGAGAAAACAACTTTAAATGGGTTAATTGGATTGGTGAGTTACCTAATAATACTCATATATATAAACGAGTATAATTGGATAACCTATTTATACCCATATGTAAAAACATAAGATGCCTATATCCATCTATTCATGGGCGGGTATGAGTAAATTTAGTTAAATGGGTTTGTTTACCAGCTATACTCATGGGTATTCCACCCGATGATTAATCCAGTTAGACGATTAATAAAATTAGGGCTGTTAATGGAATCGGACCAATCCGCACTCAACCCACTCGGTCCAAAAAAAGCCCAATGAGCTTAACTTTTTATTGAGGCAGCCTGGGTTTGATCCTGAATATTAGATCCAAATTAAGTGTCAATTGAGGTTAGGCCTTATTAGGCTCAAATTCAATATAGGTCCAGCTCTTTAATTTGTATCTATATATAGTATATAATTATATATATAATATGTTCATATTTTGGCGTATATAATTATACATCTAAATATATAATACTAATGAGTTATGTGTCAAAATATATTAATATATATAAGAAATATCAAATATACAATATTATGTCAAAAGGTTAAGAACATAAGTAACAACCCAAAGTCCTGTGAATGACTCATAAACGTATAATCTGTTAGAAAATGAAATAGAAATATAAGGCTCAAGTCCTTTGAACATATAGAAATAAATAACATAGAAGCAATAGAAGACATAAATTTAGAAGAATTTGATGAAATAGAAATAAGTTTAGATTTAATAGAAAATGAAAAAATTTATAATCTGTTAGAAACAGGGCATAAAGATATAGATAATTTAATAAGTAAGTTAGAAAAATTAGAAATTTTTGGAGAGAACCCTACCATACATTGGGAAAAAGATAAAACAGTTTGTAAATTAGAATTATTAAATCCTAATCTAAAAATTAGCACAACAAAAATAGAAGCTAGTAATGATGATATTAAAGAATTTGAAATGCATATACGAGATTTAAATAAATTAAAAATAATTAGGAGGAGCGAAAGTCCACATAGAAGTGCAACATTCATAGTCAAAAAACACAGTGAAATAGTTAGAGGAAAAAGTAGAATGATAATTAACTATAAAATATTAAATGATAACACTAAAGAAGAAAGTTATGATATACCAGATAAAAATCAGTTAATAAATAGAATACAATATAGATATATTTTTAGCAAATTTGATTGTAAATCAGGATTTTGGCAAGTTAGGATGCATTTAGACAGTATAGAATGGATAGCTCTTACATGTCCCTTAGGACATTTTGAATGGTTAGTAATGCCATTTGGCTTAAAAAAATGCCCCAGCAATCTTTCAAAGAAAAATGGATAGTATATTTAATAAATATAAAGATTTTGTTATAGTATGTCATAACCGCCTTTCCAGTGCCCAATCTTTCCCTGCTGAATGTCAACTCAATACAAACGAATATAATAGGCCTTTAGCTTTGCAATTTCAACTCAGTTCGATGGCCCGAAGCGGATGCTAATGGGCCCGTTGCCTGTTATGAATAGAACATATTCAAAGACGAGACTGAATCATCAAAACAAAATCAAAGGCCCTACCCTAATGCTTGTCGTGGGATTACTTGATGTAATCGTAATGATACGAAATATGGGCCGCTTATGGGCCATGTTTTGGGCTGCAAGAGATTGAATCTTTTAGTAATAGTTAGTAGTTTATTTTCTAGATTTCTATTTTATTTGCTAGGAATAAATTCGGTCCAAGACCTCATGTTGAGTTGGATCCGATTTATAAAGTCTAGGCTCACTACAACTTAAGTTGGTTAATTAGCTTTTACTGGGTTATGTTGGGCCAGCTTAAAGCCTTCATTGGATCGATTATAAGCTGACCATTAGATAGTGGATTTGAGTAGTGGAATCGGGCCAAAGGCCTAGCCTAGCCGAGTTAGGGTTTTCAAGTCACTTTAGGTTTTCAAGTTGTATGGCTATATATAGCCAAGGCAAGAGACCTTCATAAGCAGTTTTGAAGATCAATAAAATTGTGAGTTTTCACTTTTCTCTTTCTAAGAGAGTCTCTTTGAATATTTGAGAATCTTTCTCAAGTTATTCAAGTGAACTTATCAATCAAGTAATTCCTTGGTTGTGGCGTTCCTCTACCTATAGTTTGGTTCGCTAATTCATTAGGTAACGGGTGAGATAATATCAATAGTGTTCGTTATCTCGGGGATTAGATTTGGGTCAAATTTCCGCTGCTAAACCGTTGGTGATTCGTTGTCTAGATCGCGTCAAGTGAGTATCACATCAGTTGGTATCAGAGCTAGTCGACAACCACCAGGTTATATCCTTCTTTTCTTTTGTGTTTCGAGTCACATACTCTTGTTTCAAATCAGTTTGTGTGTCAATTCAAAAAAAAAAAAAATATAACTTGTGTTTCTTTCTTATTTTGGTGTCTTGTTATATTGTTCTTGAAGTTTTGTGTTGGTTTAGAGTCAAAAAAAAAAAAATAATCCAGCCGCTAGGGTTTTGTGCCGTCGTTGTGTTCTTGTATCTTGTTTCTTGCATGCAATCTGTCTTGTCATCTCTTGCTACTGTTTTGACCAGATCTTAGTCTTTTCATTGTTTTGTTGAGTCGTTCTGGTTGTGTAAAGCAACCACCAAAAGAAAAAAAGAAAAAGAAAAGAAACACATGCAAGAGGCGAAAACAAAATTCTGGTCGCTAGCTGTTTCTTAATACCGAAGTGTTTTGAACAAGAGGGCTGGGAATATTGTTTTGTTTTACATAAAAAGGCTGATTACAATAGTTCTTGAATTCTTGATAACCTTACCTTGCTTCTTGGAACCCATGATACATATCTTGATAAGAGGGATTGATACTTGAAATCTTGAAACTAAACAAACCTCCATTCTTGATCTTGAGTTGCGGCTGACCTTTGTACAAACACCACACAAAAATCTTGTGTTTTGAAGGTGGGATTTGATATTCAAAAGAAAGAAAAGCATTCTGGTTGCACAAAAAAAAAAGAGAAAGAAAGAAAGAGGAACCAGAGTTGGATCACAAGAAATAAGAAACCTTCTTGAAATAGGCAACCTTCTTGACAAAGGAAACCCAAACTGCCTTGGATTTGCTAGGGCAAACCCTAGCCACCACCAAAGCTGTCCACTTCAGACTTCCCTTGCTTGAATTAGGGAAACCAGCCGCCAACACCAAAACACCCATAACCCAAAATCACCCAAGAAACATTGATCCCAACTTCCAAAGAAAATTCGGCCGCATGCAAAAAGTGGGTAAAGTCCTTCTAGGATTCTAAATTTCCGCCATCTTGTTCTTGTGTCAATCGAACCTTGCGTTCTGTCCACACCACAAATTGGTATCTTGAGTCATTTTTGCAGATTGCTAAAAGTGTCCAAAAGGAGTCCGTCCTGATCTAGTCTTAGAGTCCTTGTCGAAGTCAAACTTCCCCAACATTTAAGTCACCCTTTTGCGGACTAAATCAGAAAAAATTCTTGCTTGTATAATTGCTGTTTTGAGTCATCATTTAGTCTTCAAATTTCCAGATTCTCATACACCACTTTTGGGGACAAACTTGGTTGACGTTTGGTTGAACTACTTGAGGGAAATTTCTGATTTCTTCAAGGGGACGATCAAGGGATTTGAAAGTGAATGGTGAGATCATTAGAGTGTTTTTAAACACTTGAGCAAAACACGAGAGTGAGTGAAACACGTAAGGGAGCGAGTGAGAACTGTTCTACTAATTTTTGTTGAGTTTTGCAGGTAATAAAAGTATGAGACAAACGAATGCTCAACTGGAGCTTCACCATCTTGTGCCTAAAGGAGTAAATACTGTGGCATTGCGTGAGATAACTGAGCAATTGGAAATCATCAAAGCTCAAAAAAATGATTGGTTTTATACACGTTGCCATATCAAGGATAAAGTTTGCAGCTTAGCCATTGATAAGGGTTGTGAAGTTAATCTCGCAAGTACTATCTTGGTTGAGAAATTGAATCTTCCAACCATTGATCA